CGGGGGCCGCTCCGGGGAGTCCCGCAGGGGGTGTCATCGCGCATTCCTCCTCCTCCTCCTCCTCCTCCTCCTCCTCCTCCTCCTCCTCCTCCTCCTCCTCCTCCTCCTCCTCCTCCTCCCCCTCCCCCTCCTCCCCCCCCTCGCGCCGGCGCTGGACCTTGGGGGGGCGCGCCCCGCACGCCCCTGGGGCGGCTGGCTCAGGAGCGGGCCCCGCGGTCGGAGCAGCGGCGTGCCGCGGAGGCGCGCCAGGAGCGGGCCCCGCCCACTGGACGCTGCGAGGCGCCCCTCCCCCTCCCGCTCCTCGCTCCTGGTGCGTGCACGGCTCGTGGCTCCGAGGCCCCCGAGGTCTGCATGGCTCCGTCGCCAGAGGTGGGCTCGGCATTTCTCCAAGCGTGGCCTCCGAACAGTGCGCGATCGTCCTGTGCTGTGTAGCATACGCAGTGCAAGCCACGTGGCGGTGCAATCTGCATGCCGCAATTCACGTCGTTCGGCCTCTGTGGTTCACACAATGTGGTGCAAATGGCGTGGTGCCATAATTCGCATTATGCCACGCGCATTGTGAGAGCTGTGTGGTGCAAGCTATGCGGCGCAGCCCATGAGGTGCAGACTTTGCGGTACTGCAATCGATGATGCAAGAACTATGATCAAGGATGTGCATGTGCTCATCTGTCTTGTGCAAGGTGTGCGCTGTAAGCTGTGTGCTGCACGCCACGTGACGCAACCTATGTGGCGAAATACATATGGACAGGCGCATCTACTGTCGGCGATACTAGATGTTCAAATCCACTGCTCGCGCAAACATGCCGCCTCGCACCCGAAACTTGTTTTTCGAAGCCCGTGCGGCTTCGAAAAACTGGCTGGTGAGGCAGTGGCTGCGAGGCACTGGCCGGCGCATCTCTGCGGCCGCACTGGCGCGCGCAAGCTCGCGCGAAGAGCGGCCAACAAGCCTGGCACAACTGGCGCGGCCACAACAGCGCTTGCTGATGGGAACTTTCCAGCGCGTCTCACAGGCCGCACTGGCGCGCGGGCGCTTCAGTGCTGGTTGGTGACTGGGGCGGGCGCGATGTCAGGACGACGTCGGCAACGGCGGCAAAGATGACGATAGTGACGATGGCGGCTGCGATGATGTCGATGACGGCGGCAAGGCTAATGACGGCGCCGATGCTGGTGACGATCGTGACGATGATGATGTTCATGTGTGGGTGATAGAGGTGAACGACTGATGGTGGCGGCAATGGCGGCGACTGACGGTGAAGATAACAGCGATGATGCGATGGCGCTAATGATCGTAATCGTGAGTAAGTGCGCGCGCATACATTCAATAAATCCGACAGACTTTCGGTTGAAGCGCATTTGCTTCTCAGCTGTGGGGAACTCTACCTTGAAATACTTTGACAAACAAACACATGGCTTTGAACGGAATTCGACATGCACGTGGCGGCGCTCACGCGTGTGACCCGCAGAACATTATTTGGTACGGATATGTTCGCTGGGCGCATGCAACACCAATGCACCGCGGGGTGTACGATCAACCAAGTTCTGGACGAAACTGCTAAATTCATCTGGTTTAAACGATTTCAGCAAGTGCGCGCGAACAGAAATTCCGCAATCTCTGTGGTGAGAAAACAAAAGAAAAGGCTGTTGCAGAGCTTCTGTGTTCAGTTTAGTTCGTCATGTGCGCATGTTTGGACTTTGATGATTTTTGAAGAAAAGACCACGGGCATACTCATCTTTTGAGATAAGCGAATGCGCAGGTATAGTATGATGTGACAAGGGTGAAAGGTTGGCCAATGCCAGGTTGGTCTTGGACAGTCGTATCTGCTTTTGGGATGGACGGCCGTGCAAACAGACATAGAAAGGCAACACCTCACGGAGGGGGAGCGTTAGGTCCAGGGGGAAGATGGCGGCCGAGTCTGCAACGGGAACTCGATCAAAAGAAACCCTCCACAAGAACCCAAGCCCTGAGACCGCAGGACGCACATCATACGCCCAGTGTGCGTAGGATCCACGAGCGTCAGGCTCGTCAGATTTTTACGCTGGATTTCCTTCGGACCATCGCGCAGCGCGAGCGTCGTCCCGCATCCGACGAGGCGGACGTGTCGACCAAACGATACCACTACGGTGGGGGCAGTGGATGAGGAAGCGCTGGATCAGGAATCCAGGGTCTGGAGGCCAGTGGAACGCACTCCCGGCGAGGCTTGGCCATGGATCTTGTCGCCGCCCTCGTCGGAGCAGGAACCCTCCAGGGTCTGAAGCCCCCCGGGCGCAGTCCCTGACCGACGCCCCCACCGTGCTGCGCGCCGCGCAAGGCCTCCCGGCCGGCCATCACGGGTTCCATGAGAGGCGACGCCAACACCAACAGGGCGAGGAGACGCGAGGAGAAGGGGAGGTCTCCCTGGCGGTGTGGCCCCCTCTCTCGCTCGAGACATCCCCCGCCTCCAGCTCGGGGAGGCATCGTCGACCTCCTCGCTGGTGGTGCCCCCCCTAGTGTGGCCACCAGCTCGACCTCCAGCTGTGGAGGCATCGTCGACCTCCAGCTGGGGAGGCATCGTCGACCTCCAGCTCGGGGAGGCATCGTTGACCTCCTCGCTGGCGGTGGCCCCCCCTGGTGGTGCTGGCGTCGCTTCTCCCCCCTCCGACTCCGGGGGTGACCTCCAGCAGCGGCGCCCCTCGCCGGGGTCGTCCTGCCCGGGCGGAGCTCTGGACCCGGAGGCCCACACACGAGGATCCCGCGGGCTGGAGGCAAGGTGCAGCCGGCCCTGGCTGGACAGGGCACGCGCGGGAGGACGCAAGACCCGTCCGGGGGCCACATCGCCACAGGAGTGCAAGACGGCACGTGCCAGCCCTTCCGCGGGCGGAGCCCCTGGACCCGGAGGCCAACGCACGAGGGTCACGCGGGTCGGAGGCCGAGGCGCAGCCGAGGCCGGTCCAGAAGAAGCCTTCCGCAAGAAGCCCAAGCCTGAGGCCCCAGGAAGTCCACCGACTTCTGGTGTGGGCACGTCGCGCTTTCCGCAGCAAGACCATCGAAACCCAAGAAACCCAGGGCACCCTGTAGGCAAGCAGGGTGTTTCTTGGCATGGGCCTCCACTGTCGGGAAGCGAACTCTATACGCCGACGCTCTTGTTTCCGGCCCTGCACTGGAAAGTGCACAGGAAAGCGGATCCTGATGTCTACGGGACGCTGGTGTACGCGTTTCTCGTTGTTTCACCAGGGAGAGCGGGCAACGAAAAAGGCATACACCACACCGCCCCGACGTCGTCCCCGACCCTCGAAAAAGCCCTAGGATTGAAACATAATCTGTCACTGGTAATGTACGTGTTCAACTTTCCAACGAGGTGCGCAGAGAGAGAGAGAGAGAGAGGTAGAGCATGAGGAGGCGGAGGAGCAGGAGGGGGAGGACAAGGAGGGCGATGAGGAGGAGAGAACGCTGCGTGCTGGAGCATGAAGTCCGATCAACGTTACTAAAGGAGGAGGGGGAGGAGAAGGAGGAGGAGAAGGAGGAGGAGGGGGAGGAGGGGGAGGAGGCGGAGGAGGGGAGGGGGGGAGGAGGAGGAGAGGAGGAGGAGGAGGAGGAGGAGGAGAGGAGGAGGAGGAGGAGGGAGGAGGAGGAGGAGGAGGAGGAGGGGGAGAAGGAGGAGGGGAGGAGGGGGGAGAAGGGGGTGAGGAGGAGGAGGAGGAGGAGGAGGAGGAGGAGGAGGAGGAGGAGGAGGATGGAGGAGGAGGAGGAAGAGGAGGAGGAGGAGGAGGAGGAGGAGGAGGAGGAGAGGAGGAGAGGAGGAGGAGGAGGAGGAGGAGGAGGAGGAGGAGGAGGAGGAGGAGGAGAGAGGAGGAGGAGGAGGAGGAGGAGGAGGAGGAGGAGGAGGAGGAGGAAGGAGGAGGAGGAGGAGGAGGAGGGGAGGAGGAGGAGGAGGAGAGGAGGAGGAGGAGGAGGAGGAGGAGGAGGAGGAGGAGGAGGAGGGAGAGAGAGAGAGAGAGAGAGAGAGCGCGGAGGGCGAGAGGGCACCGGGGGGCGGGGGCCTGCATTCCCTTGCCGCTCTCCTCGGCGCAGAGGCCCTCGCGGCGGCGACGCGGCGCGGGTGTGCGCCGAGCGGGCGAACGGGCGCTGCGCAGAGCCGTGCGGCGTGCCGCTGCTGCGGGCCAGGGCCGGCGGTGGATCGGGGCCCGCGACAAAGCTTTTGGCATCGCCCGGACTCGTCCATTCCCCTCTGCATCTCTCGGCTTCGTGCGCGCGTGTGTCGCAGGGGGATCTCCGAGGCGCCTCGAGGGTCCTCGCCGAGAAGAGATACACGCACACGTCCGAGCGATTGCCCAGAGCTTGCCTGGACCTGCTGCAGCGAAGCTGGAGGCTTCCTACCTGGGGTCAGAGCTTCCCAGCTGGGGGGAGGAAGGGGAGGGAGGGAGGAGGAGGATGAGGAGGAGGAAGAGGAGGAGGAGGAGGAGGAGAAAGAGGAGGAGAATCGTGCCGCATCGCTAATACATCGTCGGTGCATGATGCACCAGCGATGTATCTGCGACGTCGGCGACGCATCGGCGACGTCCGCGTATCCACATCGAGCCGTATCGCCGATGCATCGGCGATGCGGCGCGATCCTCGGACCCCATCTGGGAGGCCTAGAGAAGCACTAGGCATGATCGAGCATTGCTTTCGCCCCTCCCTTGTTGACAAGGCAGTGGTGCGGTCACCGCGATGAAACAGACCAAGCGGTTAGAATTCACCCGGGCACCGCGGAGTGCACATCGAACACTGACCATCATGGGCAATCTCGACGGAATAGCCGAGCGCGGAAGAAGTGATTCGTGGATTCAGCGGGTTGACTGCCCTAACGTTAAGTCGGGCGTGCCCCCCTGCAGAGGGATTTTCGACGAAAAATGAAACATACCCTAAAAATGCCCCAAAAAGGTCAAACAATATTGGAAAAAGAGTCCCCAGACTATTTTTGGATTATTTTGGGGGCATCTTCTATTTTTCGTCGAACATCCCCCTGTACGGGGGCAGGCCCGACTTAACCCCAACGCCTGCATGCCTGCCTGCTGCGCGCGGGCCCCTGCACATCTGCACGCGGGGTCCGTCCGGTGTTGCTCGACGGGCGAGGCCTCTCGCAGTGCCGAGCGTGGCAGTCGCAGACGCGCCTCGTGCCGGGAGCTACGGCGCCGACTGCGACCGAGCGTTCAGCTGAGCACTTTCTTAGGGTGGAGGGCTCAGAGTGAAATCCGCATGGGCCTTTGCAGATTCAAACTCTCGAACATGGGCTTCTGCGTAATGAAATCCACATTGGCTCAGAGTGAGAACCACCTCGCACATCGATCCGTCTTGTGATTCACCTTGTGCAGATTCAGACCTCGAAGATCAGTCGAAGAGGCACTTCAGATGTCACCCTTGGCCCTCCACCCAAAGAACATGCACAACGTTCAGGGCCATCGCTCCTGCAGGCTCCGACAACTTCGGCTCGGCTCCGTTATTGGCAGCCTCCGCCCCGATCGCGGACAGCATCCGCAGCGTATGCGCCGGAGCCTCCGGATGGGGCGTTCGGGCTGTGCTGTCAGCTTCTGCCGCACCGGACTGAGCAACGACAGAGAGAGAGAGAGAGAGAGCACACGTCACGCGCACAAGAACGGGGGTGCAATCTTATTGGCCTGCGCGTTCGGCAGACAGCCGCCAAGGGTGCCCCCCCCGACAGCCGTCAAGGGCAAATGGTGAAACAATCTGATATCCGTACCACTATTCAGGGCTGGACCTAAACGTTGTTTTTCGTTTTGTGATCGAGTTGCTTTTCGTTTGCTCTACATATTGTCCTGCACCTCCCTGCAAAAACGAAAAACAAAACACAGCCGAAGTCCAGCAAAACAGCGTTTAGGTCCAGCCCTGCCACTATTCCATGGACCTCTCCCATGGGTTCGTTCTGACTCGAATTTCCAAGAAACTCCAGCAGTGGTGACGAGGATTCTTCTGGGCGAGCATCAGCAGCCGCATCTGCATCTTTCCATCCTCTTTGCCAATCTCGCCTCGTCGGAGCAACTTGCCAGGTGGGTGCGGAGCTTTCCAGCGCGCGGTGTTTGTCCGTACCAGGGGGTCGGTCTGGGGATGTCTAGAGGCCTCCTAGCTGGGGTCCGAGTAGATGGGGTCGGAGAATCGGCATCGCCGATGCATTGGCGATGCATCGGCAATGCATCAGCGACGCATCGGAGACGCCTGCTCGGTGCATCGGCGACGCCAGCGCGGAGAAAGTCGGGCTCCGATGCATCGGCGATGCGGCGCGATCCTCCGACCCCACCTACGCCGACACCACCTAAGAGGCCTAGAATGTCGGCGCAGGCGGCGCACCACCCTGTCTTGTTTTGAAGGAACGCAATGCGACGGAGTCCAAGGTAACCGGCCGGCGGCCTTCAGCTTCTTCTCCAGCGCGTCAAAGTCTGCGAACGACTTCTTCCTGGCACAGAGGTGTCGTTAGAAGGCAACTTCTGCGAAGTCTTCTTCAGAACCGCTGAGAGCTATTAATCCAGATTGTAAGGCGATGGAGCCAGATTCTCCCAGATTCACTACAGGAGCAAGCCATGGATTAAGCCAAATTGCGCTGGATTGTGCATCAGTAGGTAATTTGGCCACGAGTCTACCAGCGACGCTGCTGAATCTAACCTCCCAGGAGTTCCATTCTAAGAAGGGAGTCGCAATCGCTTGCGCCAAGCCGCGGATCGAGTCCGCTCATCTTATGCCCTGCACGTGGAAGTGCCAGTGCCCTCATCACTGCGCTTGGAGCGGCACGTCTCTGAAGGGGCCCTGGGACACACAAATAAATAGACACGAATAACAGGATTCCATATACTTTCCCATATGTTCTGGGTTTTTGTTTTCCCCCCCACTTCCCATAGTTTCCCATATATTCCTGGGACTGGACGATTCAGTGTGTCTGCGTGTTTTGGCACCAGGAAGCTCTGGTCCTGGGCAGCTCGTGGCGGCTGCCTGTGGCCTGCCCTGCAACAAGTCCGGGACCCGGGGCCATCCACAAGAGCGACTCGGGACGGAAGAGCGGGCCCCCTGGGAACGCAACTGGCCATCGCTCGGACGTCCATTCCCTGTTTTTTTTTTTTGGTTTCGTGCGTGGCGTTTTCGCCAAATGATCAAGGATGCTCCTCGATGGTCCTCGCCGAAGGAAACACGCACACGTCCGAGCGATGCCAAGGCAAAACACGGCGTCGGACGTCTGGGTGTGTGGGGGAGGGGCCCCAGAAGGCACCGATGCCACTGCTCCCCGGACCTCTCTCCCCGGGGGGGTGCGTTCCGACGAGGGCCTGGAGGCGAATCCAGCGGTGGCGGCGAAGGCCCCCAGGGAGGCCCAAGCAGGGGGGAAGCGGACGAGGGGCAGAGGACCTCCTCTGTGCGTGGATTCGGCATAAAAGTCCCGGGAGCCACGACGGCCAGGGTGTGCCCGAGAAGCACGAGCACTGGTCAGACCAGCGTGGATACGGCGTGGGGGGAGGTGTGGGTCACAAGCAGCGGACATGCGGCCCTCGGGCCGCAGCAAATGTGCAAGCGCCATGTTGAGCAGCACGTGCGATACACCGAAGACAAAGGGAGATGGACAGGAGAAGGGCACATGTGAAAAAAACGGTGCTGCTCTCCAGACGCATTCCGCCCAATCTGCTGAAGGGTGGCAACATGCAATCGGGAGGCGGGTGTGGAGGGATCGGAAAAAATAGCAGGCAGTGCAGAAGAGCACGGAGACAGCACAAGCACGCGCTCCTCGCGACCACCCCGCTCGTGGCCTCGGCCGGCTGCTTCTTGGTTATCTTCGAGGCGCACTGCTTGTCCGTGTCGAATGCGTGGTTGTGCTCCTCGGGCTGCGACTAGCCAAAGGGATGCCGAAGCATGGCGAGTGGTGGCCGAGGTGACAGAGAGCTCGAACGATCAATGAGCAGCTAAGAGAGGGATTGGTGCTTCAATCTCCCGCGCGCGTGCACCCAAAAGGAAGGGATCAGGGACGGAATAACAGACATCACCGAGATGTGGTTCATCAACCTCGAACTTCCTTCTTCTTCTCCTTCTCCGTACTCCTCCACGAGATGACGTGATTACAGCTGCAAGCGGGCGCCGTCCCCCCACCTTACTAAGATCTACATGCTGGCCTGTTTCGCGCTGGCTGTTGGTGGTAATGCTTGCGCGTGGTGCTGATGCTGGTGCTTGAGGTCCTGTTGGCGCGGAAGTTGCTACTCGTGCAGTTGCCGTTGTTGGTGCTGATCTGAAAATGTTCTAGTTTTTGATGATGATGTCCAAAAAGAAAAAACCGCGAAGGCCCCTGGCGTGGTCACCTTTTTTCCTCCACTGTCCTCCTCGTCGGCTACCGCCTCCTCTTTCATCTCCCCCACGACCGCCAGCGCATCCTCCTCCTCGTCCTCCCGCTTAGGGTCCACCAGATATTGACTGGGGACGTGTTCGGTCGAATTCCTCGTCCTTCTGCTCGCACTCCTCCACCTCCTCATCCACTAACCCTCGATCTCCTCTTCCGCATCCTCCTCCTTCTCATGCCCATATTCCTCCTACTCCTCCTTCGAAGAGACAGCGGACAAATACCATAATCCGAACATCCTGGGACCTGGGTTGCCTTGCCGGGGCTGCGGGGTTGAGCGGTGCTGTAAAAACGCCCGCCGCAGGAGCAGGCCCTTGCCCGAAACGATCGGCCCGCCACAAGCTTCTGCGTTTGCAAGACAACGCGGGTGGTCGTGGGGCGGGGCCCCGACGGGTCGCAGTCCTCGAAGGCCAATGTAAGGAGGCCTGCCGCAGGCCGGTAGGTCTTGAGCTCTTCAGCACAGCTGGCCCGCCGCAGGCGGCGATTTTGTGACATCCGATGTGGGTGGATCGCTGGCGTGAGTCGCGGGTGGGTCCAAGGTGGATCGCGGGAAGGTGGCGGGAGTCACGGGTTGGTCTCGGGGCGTGTCGCTAGGTGGGACGCGGGGCGTGTCGTCACGGGGGGGGGGCGACGACGACGACGACAACAATCATCTGTGCCGCGGAGCCCCAGTACCGGGAAATCGATTTCGGTTTCGTGTTCGTGCGTGCCGTGCGGGCGAGGCGAAGCTGCGTGGGCGGGCGCGAGGAAAGTCTCCTGTGGCTGAGGCGCGGCCGGACCAAATGATTCTCCGCCGGGCGGCCGGTGGCGCGCGGTGTCCCGCCGGTGTCCCGCCGGTGTCCCGTCGGTGTCCCGTCGGTGTCCCGATGATGATGTTGATGGTGATTATGATGATGATTTTGATGATGATGATGGTAATGATGAATGTGATGAGATGATGTTGATGGTGGCGATGATGATGATGATGATGATGATGTTGATGATGATGACGTCGATAGTGATATCGATTGTGACATCGGCAGCAAGACCGAATGAGACAGCGAATGAGGTTTTCTCTCAGGTTCTCCTCCACCACGCACAGTGTTGCGCCGCCGACGAAAGCGCCTTCCTTTCAAAGCGCCACCTCCGAAAGCGCCTGCCGACGTGGCCAACCGAGCCAACCGAACCGCGGTGCCGGGGCCGGGACATAGCCGCCCACGGGAAACCGCCGCCGACAGGGATGAGGAGCTGATAGGGCTGAGGACCTGCGCCCGTTGCGGAGTCTACGAGCCGTTCCAGCGAGTGAGCGACCTTTGCTGTTGGCAAACCAGTGGCCAGGACTGCGTCTTCGGAGTCGTCGCTGCCGACGGCGATTGATTACATCGACGCAGACGTGCTAATAGTGCTCATGCAGCTGTTCCAGCGGGCACGGGCTGCGCCAGGCTTTGCCAGCGCAGGGGCTTTGCCAGAGGGCAGGGGCTTTGCTGTAGTGCTATTAGGGGGCACGGGCTTTGCTGCAGTGCGCGGGCTTTGCCAGCGCACGGGCTTTCCCAGCGCACGGGCTTTGCTGTAGTGCTATTAGGGGGACACGGTGTATGCCAGGCTTTGCCAGCGCTTCGGTATTCTCTGACTGCATGAGGCACGCTTTCGCTGGGCTTCCAACCGTTTGCGCTGTTTGAGCAAGGGGAAAGGAGCTATGATGGCGGTACATCGGTCTCGACCGCCGAAGGGCAGCCGTTGAGCAATATTTTGAAGCGATTTAGTCAGTGGCGACAAGAGGGGTTTCAGCAGGCCTCCGACAAAAAAAACTCCACTGGCATCGACAGGAGAACAATCACCACTGTTGCCCATTGCTCGGCCCCTCCACCCCCCCCAACCTCCTTATCACCCGTAGGGTGGTCGTATAGGTATACACATATATGTATGGCACTGCATTTTCCCACCATTCCCTGATCAAGGCACCTTGCCTGGATATCGTTTCTGGATGGTGCGGTGGCCTGCGCATGTCGTTCGCTCGTCAGTGTCAAACATACGTGCAAAGATAACATGCTCGGAATAGCAAGGAGCTGGTATCTCTCAGACGCAGCCATGGTTTGCTTGAGCCAGAGTGGCACTGGCGGGAGAGGACGAGGGGCAACCAGTGCAAAAAGAGGCAGAAGCAGGTGCAAGAGGAAGAGACAGGATCACTGACACCGTTGCTGGGGAATTCGGAGAGGCCACGGAAATCCAGCTGCCGAATCCCAAACCGACGCACTCGCATGGAAGACCTTGGCTACAACTCTGCACCAACACCCCCAAGACGGTTCCGAGACAAATGCCACCGAGCACGGCGTTTGGCATTAAGGAAACGGGTCCTTAGGAAAACGGGCCCTGAACGGGGGCCTGCCCCCAAAACCAATTCTTCATGCTGAGTCGTTTTCTGATGGTCCCCGAGGCTCGTGGAAAGCCCATTGGGCTCGAAAACGACCTTGGGACCTGTTTCCGTCAGGACCCCTTTCCTTCGATGGCGAGGTGTCCGGGGAGTGCAGAAGGCCCAGACTCCTCGGCGCGACGGCGAAGGCTCAGGCCGCCGCTTCTGTGCACAGAAGCCCCCGACCGCGGCCAGCGAACAAATCGGGAGAGATCGCACAATGAGCAGATATCACGACACGACATATGATGGTCGAGTCGCATCTCACCTGCGATTTCCCAGACATGCTCGCGTCGTGAACAGTCACGGCGGGAAGCTTTTGGCAATGCTCTGCCCCAAGGGCCCTCGCTGGGCGAGCAGGGACCGTCAAGAGAACGACCCGGGATGAAAAAGCGACCCCGGGCAAGGGTCGTGACCTCCGGGGCCCACGCAGTGACAAATTCAAGGCATCCCATGTCCTGGGACGCACAAGGACATACTAGTACTGTACGTCCTGCTTGGAGGCGTGCGCCCGACCCAAAAATCTAGTGCGCCCATCTTGTATCATATCGCTACCCGAGCGGTGTGGCCAGAAAGCGCCCGTCACGACGAATATACTATTATAAGACTTCTCGGTGCGCGCGTCGCCCCTGGGTGGGCGACGCACACCTAGAATGTTGGGAGACGCCGATGTCTGGATCTCGTTTCTCCCCCATCTCATCTTGGGGACGCGCTAATCCGGGTCAGCACTAACCCTGGGTCAGCCAAGGCCATGCCGCGAACCCCCTGGATTCGGTACAAAATTTCGCGAGGGGAAGTACAAAAATCCGCAGATCAAGCCAGGATGAAAAGTGGTCTCGGGGAAGGGGACCTCTGGGGGTCAACGCAGTGGAAAAATCACAGCGTCCGTCGTTCTGGGGAGGGGGTGGAGGGAAGGGTGGGGGGACTCCACGTGGCTCCCAAACCCAGAACAGCCAGTCAGGACCAGTGGGGATTGGCTGGCCCCCGTTGCCGCTGACCCCCTTCCCGGAATACAGCACTCCTGCTTTGTTCGATGCTGCGAGGCTGGCTTTTCAGCCCGGAGCTCGGAAACAGCCCCCAGGGGAAACAACGTGCGACAAACCAGCCGCCTCCATGTGTGGGCTACGTGCACCCCGAAGGCCAGAGGGTACTGACCACCCGTTAGCGCTAAGCCCCGCTACAGGCCCGCGCCCCGACCAATCCTCGAAGGGAGAGAAACTAACAAAACAAATGCATACACATAAACTTTCGACGGTCCACACGGAGTTCGCCAAAAGTTAATGCCTATGCTGTTATTGGTTCTTCGAGAAGGGGGGGGACTGCCTCAGAGGGGGGAACCATTGGCCTAGATCCTTCGTTGTTGCACTACACGTTGTTGGATCGACGCAGTCGCAACAGGAACGGCGGAAGCGTTCTTGTGTTTGTCCTTGATCATCTCTGCAGTCTCCTTTCTCCTCTCCCTCGCTCCCCTTTATACTGCTGCAATACTTTGGTCTTTGTATCATTCTCAGTTGGGCCCTGTTCTGTTTGCGTGCTGGTATCGTCCGCCACATTACGGGAAGTCGGCGATGCATCGCCGATGAGCCGGCGGTGCCAACAGGGGAGCCGCACACGTTCCTGGGCGAGGGCGGGGGACCAGGCCCCGACGGACGATGACTGAGCAATCGAGGGGGTCGATGCACCGCCCCCCTGAGCCTGTCCCCCCCCGACGTTGTCCCTTGATTGGCGGCGAGCGCGGGGGGGGGGAAGCGAGGAGGAGAAGGCCTTCTCAGAAGGGTCAGAAGTCCCCCGGCCTTCCGAGAAGTTGTCCACGCCTTCCCCGAAGAACGAGCAACAAAAACTGATCAGAAGGCGCGAGGGCTTCTGAGAAGTCCCGCCGCCTTCTGAGAAGGCCTTCTCCTTCTCATTTCCCCCCCTGGCTTGCCGCCGACCAACGTTGCCTCTTTAGAGGTCAACAAATCTACCCACCCGAGGAAGGAATCGAACATGGCAGGGCTTTTCAGTAAACGCCCAGGGCCGTTGAGTAAACGCTCGTTGTCGGTGACTGGGTGGTTTTTCCTTCCTCGACCCTGGGTTTATGTCGGGCGTGTCCCCCTACAGGGGGATTTTCGACGAAAAATGCAAAATACCCCAAAAATACACCAAAAAGGTAAAAAAATACACCCAAAATAGTCCCCGGACTGTTTTTTGACTATTGTTTGACTATTTTTGGGGTATTCTTTATATTTTTCGTCGAAAATCCCCCTGTAGGGGGACAGGCCCGACTTAACCCTTGGTGTTCGGGACATGTCTCGGCTCTTCGGCAGCCGCTCGGGACGACCTGGGCAGCCGCAGAACGCTGCCGGCAAGGCGCAGCTGCTGGAGAGCACCCCGAGGCTGGAAAGCCGCCGAGATCCGACGAACGTGTCCTCGAACCTCGAACCTCGAAACGTCGGCGTCCCAACCCATCTCGGCGGCGCGCAAGCATGGATTAGCGATCCATGGATTTGGCACGCGGTCGTCAAATCCATGGATCGGGGGCGGTGCCCTCCCCAAAATGCGGCCGGTGACGCCTGGTTCGGCAGCGGAACTCCGCGATTTCCCATGGAAACGGGACCCGTCGCTAATCCACGCCCCCGTGATCCATGTCTGCGATCGCCTGACTCATCCCGCGCCCTCGCCCCCGAAGTCCGGCGAGACTTTCATCCGGACCCACATGCAGAACTCCTGCGCGGGGGCCCGCGGGATTGAAGTCGCGGCGCCGGGCGTGCAGACGGGAACAGCAACGCTGAGGCAGGCTCCAGTGCAGTGGGGCAGCCTTTACACCCCAGGCCACAGCCAGAATGGATTCCCCTAGTGATCAAAGACCAGAACTTCCAACTTCCAACTTCCAACTTCCAACTTCAAACTTAAAACTTAAACCGCTGATGAGATAAGCGCAAAAACTCAAAACTTTCGGGGCTACGCGCGGATTCCTTGGATCCGCGCTGGGCCCCCCTTCCCGGCGCGCGGAGCGCGCCAAGGTCGGCGCCGGAGGCGTCGCCGGGGGGCCCAGCGCCGATGCGGGAACGCCGCGCGGAGCTCTGGAAGTTTCGGTCTGCGCCGGGTGTTCTTCTTCTTCTTCTTCTTCGGGCAGGGCAGGCTGTGCGGGGCCACGCAGGGCCAAGGCAAGGAGATGACCACAGGAGGCCACCGCACGGGGCGCCGACAGGAGGGCGGCGCCAGAGGGCGCGGTGCACTGCAGCTGTCTGGCCAGCTCTGGCGCCTGGAGAGGGATGCGGATGATGCGCAGCGGGGGAGCAGGCAGAGGAGGCGGGACAGGAGGAGAGGGGAAGAGCAAGAGGGCGGACGGATGAAGGCCTCCTCAGCCTTCCCAGGGGAGGTGGCATTGCGAGACCTCCAGCAGTGCCCCAAGAGAGCCCCCCTTTCAACCCAGGCGTGCCCCCAGAAAGCCCCAGGCCCGCCCAGAAAGTCTTTGCAAGAACGGAGAAGCCAATGTGGTGAAAGCATGGTGAGTCACAAGCAAGCCAATATTTTCATCTTCATGGTCGCATGCGCACAGAGATGCGCACGCATACAAGTTACGATGTAGTAATACAGATGTGTGTACGCGAGCGGCATTTGCACGTACGCGCACACAGACGCATCCATGTACGTGTAGGTTCTGCTCCAGCGACGTCGCTCTGGGTGACTGGAGCAAACGTCGCCAGTTACAGTATACACGAACGATAAGACATCTTGCTTTCAGACATCTTGGGCTGTATTCGCCGAGAATTGGAGTTTCTGCAGGACAGGCCGCTGGCTTGACGTGCCTGCTGCATGATGCTTCGCACTAAGCGGGCGGCGGGTGACAGTGACAACAACCGCAGCGGCGAGAGAACACATCGGCGGCCACTCGAGCGACCAGACGGGGTCGCGGATCCAGAGCGAACTGCCGAACAATCTCGTGAGACAGCCAAGAGAACCCACTGCCTGCCGCAGAAAGGCCCGGGCATCCGGATCGCCACAGGTGATGAGGAGGTGGAGAAGAATCTGAGGCGGGTCGAAAGGGAGTGACTGGCCCTGGAGGGAGACAAGTGACCTGGAAAGGAGGCCACGTGCGAACCCTGAGCCCCCCCCCCCCCCAACTTATAAGTCGTGGGGTGGTGTGGTAGGAGAGGAGGGGGAGGAGGAGGAAGAGGAGGAGGGGGAGGAGGGAATGGAGGGGGAGGAGGGGGAGGAGGAGGAGGAGGAGGAGGAGGAGGAAGAGGAGGAGGAGGCTTCGCACGTGGCCTCCGACTGGGGATCGAAGATGCATCGCCGATGCGGAGGTCGGCGAGGGGCCCCTTCGTGGGCGAAGCACCTGCGCGCTCACCCAGGGGAGGGGGTGGGCGCGGGGGCCCAGGCCCCCGAGTGGCGCCGAGCGGGCGACTGGGGGCCGATGGCCTCGGAGCGGGACGATGTTCTGCTCTTGTGTTCTGTGAGTCCGGTCTGTGTTGTTGTGCTTGGTCTGGCTTGGGTGTTGTGCGTTTTGTTGTTGTTGGTGCTGCTGCAGTTGCTGCTGCTGCTGCTGTGGCTGTTGCTGTTGTGGTTGTTGGTGCTGCTGTTACTGTGGTTGGTGTTGTTATTGTTATTGTACGTGTTAGTGGTATTGTTATTGTTGTTGTTGCTGTTGATGCTGCTGTTGTTGTCGGTGGTGATGTTGGGATTGTTACTGCGTTTGCTGCTGTTGATGTTGTCGTTGCCGCTGTTGCAGTTGCTGATGCGCTGATGCTGTTGCTGTTGCTGTTGGTGCCAGTAAGAGCGAACAATATTAAAATAATTGTTGTTGTTGTTGTTGCTGTTGGATATGTCATTTTGCTCGTGGAGCCGGTGCCTTGAAGTCGGCGGTGCCGCCGCCGTCTCGGTCGAGCTCCCGGAAGTCCTGCGGCTGCGGAGGCCCTCCCCCCCTCCGGTAACCCCTGACTGGAGCCATAGAGGGGAAGCGCTGGACATGACAAGGACTGGAGGCGGAAACGTCGGTGTCGATCTTGGGCAGCGTCCATTTCTGATGGGCAAACTTTCCACCACCACTACCACACGGCAGGTTCTTGTCGTGTCGACCCCACCGTTGGTCCCTGACAACGCGGGGATCATTCAACCTTGAACGATTGGCCGCCGTTTCCGAAACGCTGGATATTTCAACGATGGGCCGATTCCGGGTCTCCTGCGGCGTTCAACCTTGAACGCCGGCGGCGGGGTCGCCGCCAGTCGACACGACGCGAACCTACCGTAGGAAGGTTGGGGGAGAACGGAGGATGGGGAGGTGTTCCTCCTCCTCCTTCTCCTCCTCCTCCTCCTCCTCCTCCTCCTCCTCTTCGTCCCTCTCTTACCTATGGTAGTTGTGGTGGGAAGTCGGCCCGTCAATCTTGGTCACCGTCGCTTCGTGGATCTTCGCGAATCGGCGACGGCCAGCTTGGATCATCTCCAAGACCGGCGTCGATAACGACCTCGAGGACATCTTGGCCATGGTCATGGTGCTTCTTCCCTCGACGTACAGTCAAACTGGTACCAAGAAGAAGCAAAAGAAGGGGCGGAATAACTTGTTGACCCCAAGAGCGCCCGTGTGATCGAAGAGCGCTGGTAGACCAACCATGGAATATCCCAGGGAGCAGCGCACCCCTTCCCTGATGCTTACGCTTGCTCGCCTCCGTACGTTGTCTTCTCGGACCTGCCTCTTTGGAGGCAGGCAGCCGATCTGGCTTCCAAACTCTTCTCCCCCCCTCCATACCGTTGCCTCTTCCCCCCCTTCCCTGCCCCCCCTCTCTCGCTCTCCATCCCTCTCCCTGCGGCCTCGCTCCGGAAAAGAAATTTGGATATCAGCATTCTTCCTGGCCCCTCCCTCCCCTTCCCCCCTTCTCTCCCCTCCCCCCTTACTCTTTGTCCGATCCCTTCCCATCTCATCCTCTTCATCTGGCCTTTCTCGGGCCTCCATTCTGATCGCGGGCGAGAAGAGGAACTTCCAACGGGCACACGCTAGCATAGATTAGGGATATGTGGATCTTGCGGGTACGAGCTGGATCCATGGGTTTGGGAATGCACATCCGAACCTTGGCGCCATTACCGCCTGATTCTGCGACGGGGCACGTCCATTTGGCATGGAAGCGGGACCCATCGCTAATCTGCGCGCCTCAATCCATGCCAGGGCTTCCTCGATTCCTGGCCGCCTCCAATCTTCCCCGCGCCCTTGCTCGGCCCAGCCCCTCGCAGCCCGAACGAGCGGGAGCAGAGTCGAGCGAGAGGGGCCTCTGGGGAGGCTAGGTGGCGGAGAGCTTCTTCGGCCCTTCCCCTCCGCACGTTCGTTGCGTCATGCTGTTTTTCAGGTGAAAAAGAGGCCTATCTCATGTGAGGATTTTAGGCCTGGGCAGTGCCACAGTACAGCTCAGAGTGCAGGACATGATATGTGTGAGTGCAGAGGCATTCCAGAGGAGTTGTTTCGGATATGTTCGACTTTGATGTTGCTATAGAGCCATCCTGGCTCAAAAATGAAAATGGATCTAAGACACCTGTATTCACAAGGTTATGAGCCCGGGCATGCGACCTCTTGAACACACGCACCAGGAATTGCTTCAGAAACTGCCTCAGACGGAACCCACGGTGGAGCTGGAGATCACGGACGAGGCTTTCATACAATTGTGGATGAAAAGGGCTCAGCGGCGAGAAGACGCTCGGCAAACCTCAGGACTTTGACGGCCAGGACGAACACTTCGAAGAATTCAAGGACAAATTCACGAACTGCCTCTCCAATCACCCGGGGGATACGAGAACGCTACTGGAGTCAGCACCGAGTGCACCAGAGAAATGTTCCATGGACACGCTGACTCCCCGCCAGAAGGTCATGTCTTGGGGTGTAGATCGGCTGCGGAAGGTGATTTGCAACGGGCGGGCCCTGAAAATCACCAAGACGAACACACAGCCAGATAGCACATTCGAGCCATGGAGGTTGCTGGTTCTGGGGTACCGACCTTCGATGGGCGGATGGCCCGTCTCACTACTGGAAGCGGTCATTGACAGCAGACCAGCAGCAGGTTAACATTTGGAAGGTGGTATGCTAGGTGGCTGGAATTGCTACGAGACGGGCGTGATGGACATGGTGGGCTACATAGCCCAGACGTGTATGCCAGCCAAGACGACGGAGCAGACGATCGCGAGAGCAGAGCTCGAGCAGGTTGGAGCAGTGGAGCGTCTCCATCGATCTCTCCAGGGTCAGGTTCGAGCACGTCGATCGGATTTTCGGGCGCGCTCCTCTCATGATATTATTCCAGGTGGTGCGTTTTGTCCATGGGCGGTTCGCCACGCGGCGTAGATCATGAACAGGTACTAGCCTCGCGAACGGACCGAGGCGACGACGCTCCACGTTCTGAGGGGACCTGCCTGCACGTCCAAGATCGCGCCGATCGGAGAACTCGCGATGACCAGTTCCCATCGAGCCCGAGGGAGTTCGCAAGAAGCAGAACGCGCAGTGGATCAAGGGCGCGCGAGTAGGACGAATGGCGAGGAGTGAGGCTCACGTCGCGCTGACTCGGCATGGCATCGTGACGGGCAAGACGAGGTTTGCCTGACGAGTTGAACGTCGACAAGGAGCCCCATGGGGAGCCGAGGGGAAACGTTGGCCAGGACAATCCCAGCCAAGCGGCGTCGGTGCACATCCTGCGGCTGGAAGAGCAGAGTCGCACGATGGCGCGGGCGCCTGGCAGTCAGGACCAAATCGACACACCAGGGGTGAACGATCAGCCGATGGAGGCGGAGGTGCACCCACGAGGTGGCAGCAGGTGCCGGAGGAGGCCCCAGCAGCAGCAGTGGCTTCGGACGACAGGGCCGAGGGAACACCTGGCGATGCCATGGCGACGGACCCTCGAAGCTCGAGGAGGCCAACCGAGAGCGAGGCACACGGAAGCGCCCGCGACCCGAACATGCGACGGCGGCCATGCAGGCCGAAGCCGAGGAGGCCAACGACGCACTCACGAAGGATCTACTCTACCCGCAGCGCTCGGAGGCCAGTATCCATGCCTCGAGGCTCGTGGAGATCAAAAATTCGCTGGCAACGGCTGCGCGAAGGACTGGACTGCTGACGATGCGCGCGCCACGGGTGCTGAGGTACTTCCTGGCACTTGGCTGGACCCGCCTCGCAAAGAGAAGTCACGTGACTGTGCAAGGGACTTCGCCGCCGCGTTCGCGGCTACGAGCGAGGAGGCAACCATGAGTGGTGGATCTCACCGAGGTCAAGAAGTGATATCCTCAACAAATGGGTTTCAGTGCAGTTTTGGCGTTCACCCAGGCACCAGAGAAAGAGTCCACATGGCATCAGAACGATTGCGAGAAGGAGGCGGCGTGGCAGAATGCAGGAGACCGTGAGAACGAAATTGGCAGGATCATTTCTCCAACGTGCTCAAGTCCTAGGATTGTCAGCTCGAGTTCGCCCTGGAATGCAAGTGCCCTATACCTTCCACAGCACGGCGCTGGACACTGCGATCGACTTACACGTGGACGATGGCATGACGACTGGATCCAGCAAAGGGCTGCCGCAACTCACGACCTACACAAATGGCATATTGGACATCTAGTGGGCAAAGGAGTTGTGGCCAGGTACTGATACTAACCTTCGCGGGGTAACGCGTGCCAGTTCGAAGGAGGGACTGATCATCCAGGCCCAAGCGAAATAAATCGGCACTACCCTATCGGACATGGGAATGGAAAGATGCAGTCCATCCGATTCACCGAAATTCGGCATGACTACCATGGAGGGCGACGATCAGGAGCTGAGCGAGGCGGACGCGATGCTGTATCGGACTGTTGTCTGCAAGCTGAGATTGTTGGCCAAGATGCGACCAGAGCTCCCGGCAACGGTTCGATGGTTATGCCAGCGGGTGAAGAATCCCGACGTCAAGTCCAAGAGGCAGCTTGCCAATCTGTTGTGCTACACCAAAGGCACCAAGAGCTCGGCTACGTTCTATCCAACGGACGAGGTGCTCAGCACAACCGACGCCTACTGGGATGGCAACTGAGGTGGCGACGACTTGGACAGGAAACCCGTGATAGGAGGAACGGTTCTGATAGCAAGGTGCCGAATCCATTGCCACAGTCGCAGAGGTGACCGTCACGCGCACTCATCAGGAGAATCGGGAATCATGAGCAGCAGCGAGGCTTTGAAGGAGGCGGTTGGCATTCAGTACTTAGCGGAGGTTGCTGGCATGGGAAATGTTCCAATATTTTGCTACACGGACGCCACAATTGCCAAGGCGTCCATGCATAGTCAAAGGTGCGGGCGGATATAGCATCTCGACCGACATGCGATACAGGAAGGTACATTAGGTGTTGCGAGAGGAAGCTTTATTTCCAAACAGATCCCACGAGACGAGGATCCAGCGGACATGTTGACCATAGTACCCAGATCGACGGAGGTTTAGAAGTTTAGCGATAGGCTGGGTTTGTTTTCAATCGAGATCCAGACGGACCCCGAGTCGGTGGTACGTGACACGGTGGGCGCCAAGTATGCAATTGGCATAGTTCTGGCTGCAGCTATGTTGTCAAGGCCAGCTTGGAAGTCTACGACGGATATTCCGATGTGTCGCACGGCTTCAGCAGTGGCGCTAGACATGATTGTGCGGATGGAATGATATCTGCTATGTGTGTTGCACGGGTCGGCCTGCGACACTGACGATAGAGCGCGCCGAGTTACGGCCTGCTGCGGACCTTGAGCGTGGGCATGCAGACCTTGCCAGGTCGCGCTGCAGGGAGCGTGCTAGCCCAGATCTTTGTCTGGCTGTTTGGAAGGAAAATTCATAAGCGCTGATGCGAGCACGTGGAGCAGTTCCCGAGTTTTGGAACCCTGCAAGATATGCGTTTGATCCCTCGAGGCTGCGAGGTACGCTTCTGGCTTTGATATTAACACGTACTGTGCTCCCGAGTTTGCCCGAACAGGATGACACGCAATGCGAACGAGTAGGTCCGAGAGCTTCGGCGGATTATGTTCGGCGAGGCTTGTTAATTACTTCCTTGGGCCGTGCTTCTGGAGTTGTATGCCCTCTAGCTGCGGTGGGGCGTGTCAAGATGTAAGATCTAGGCAGTGTTACAGTACAGCTCAGAGTATATAGCATGATAAGTGCGAGCGCAGAGCTATCCCAAAGGAGGTGTTTCAGACAGTTTCTAAGCTAATTTCCTTATGCAGCCCTCCTAGCTAGGAACAGATCTGACACACAGACATCAAGATCTTGGCCAAACTGTTGGCGGATCCTGGTGAATTTCAAGGTTTCCATACCAAAACAACTAGCCGTAGGTCGGGTATGTCCTCCTATATGAGGATGTTGTAAGAAACAACGACAAACTTCACAACTTCGTAAGTGGTCCGAAAACTATATTTCGACTGTTCTTGAATGTTCCTCCTTTGGAGGTACACACTCGACTTAAAACTGACCCTCCTCTCAGGCTCGGTGTGGCGACGCTCACCAAACAAAAGCAGGTGGAGAGGGCCGGCCTGCAACGGAGGCGAGGGCCTCCTTACATACATATATATATGCACATATAAGAAATAGAGGCCTCCCAGGTGGGGCGCGGCTTGGATGGGGCCGGAGGATCGCGCCGCATTCGGTGATGCGGCGCGATCCTCCGACGATGCACCGGCGACGTCAACGTGAAGCAAGTCGGGCTCCACATCGAGCCGCATCGGCGATGCATCGGCGATGCGGTGCGTTCCTCCGACCCCATTTGACGCGACACTGACCGCTGGCCAGGCCCCGCCGCCCGAGATTCTGCTGAGCGCCAAGAACACGTTCTTGGACTGCAGGCCGCCGAGGGAGTCCCGTCTTCCAGGCCGGAGAGGCCGGCAGATCCAGGCGGTCAAGATTACACGCTGCGAGATGCTTAAGAAATCATGGGTTAAGAAATTCATAGTCTCAGAACTTGACTAAAAACCCAAAGTTTCTATTAAAATCTTAGGATTTACGTTGAAACATTAAGACCCTGGCCGAAAATTTAAGTTTTCTTAAGCATCGCCTGAGGTGTACAGGAGGCAGGGGCCTCCCTCCTGGAAGGGGGCCGAGGCCGCTGCGAGGGCGGCGCCGCAGGTCTCCCGAGCCCAGGAGGGCTTCTCTGAAGGCCCACGCCCTCTCGGATTGGGTCGGGCTCGTCCTCCTACAGGCGAATGTTTGGCGAAGGTGAACAAAAAAACTCCAAACATATGCAAACATATGCAAACATCGTTCCCCTGACTGTTTTGTAAAACAGCTGGTTTTGAAGATTCCTCCTGTAGAGGGACACGCGCGACTTACTCTCGGAAGCTCCACACCGCCGCCCTCTTGGGCGGGCACGTCCCCATCGCGCCGCCGACTGGCTGGCGGGCTGTCAGCAGGAGGACGAGCGGAGGCAGGGACTGAGCCGAAGCCAGGGGACTACCAAACTGCCCAGGATGAAATACGACGAAGCCAGGGCGAGGATCATATCGGAAATCGGGCGGGGATGAATCGAGAATCTCTGAGAGCTGACGGTTCTGGAGGATGTATCGGGCGCCGCGGCCTTCTCGGAGCGTTCCAGAACGCTCTAAGAGCGTTCCAGAACGCCGTGGAACGGGTTTGCCCTCGTCCTAGCCCCGTCCGGGAAAAGCCCTGTGATCCAGGACCCGCTCCCTCCAGGAATAGAAGCCTCCCTGATGGGGTCCGAGTAGATATGGTCGGAGGATCGCGCCGCATCGCCAATGCATCGGCGACGTCGGCGATGCATCGTCGACGTTAGCGTGGGAGAACACAGGCTCCACATCGAGCCGCATCGTCGATGCATCGCCGATGCGGCGCGATCCTCCGACCCCATCTACGCGGACCCCATCGAGGAGGCCTAGAAAGAACTTCTCTCGTGCCACTCGGAGTGCCGACGAAAAACAAGATAACATACCTGCGGCGGCCGCGGCGACGACGACGACGACGCTGACGACGACGACGTTGACGACGACGACGACGACGACGACGACGACGACGACGACGACGACGACGACGACGGCGGCGGCGGCGGCGACGGCGACGACGACGGCGACGACGACGACAGCGATGACGACGGCGGCCGCGGCGGCGGCAGGGCATGCGGCGCGCAAGCCGTGGCTGGGCCGGCCCGCGCGGCTCCCTCTGGAGGTCCCCGGATTGGTGCATGCCCAAGGCCTTCATGCCTGCCTGGAACTCCTGCGCCAATCGGCGGCGAGGAGGAGGAGGAGGAGGAGGAGGAGGAGGAGGAGGAGGAGGAGGAGGACGACGAGAAGGAGGAGGAGGACGAGGAGGAGGAGGAGGAGGAGGAGGACGATAGCGGTAGCCCGCGGTTGCCAAGATTGCCCGCGGTAGCCAAGACATGTTCCAGGCCGGGCGGGAAGCCCACAAACGGCCGATCAAGGTTTCCTGCCAAGAGATGCGAGAAACTCCCGGGCGGCGAACCCAGAAATCCCGCACGGGGCACCTTGCATTCGATGTAATATAAAAAGACGCGTATGGTCAGAAATACAACTGTGTGCAACCGCGTGCTGCCCCCACTTTGTCAGCATGGCCTTCCAGTCCTATCTCCACGTGACAAATCGCATCGCCACGTCAACTTGACAGGCAACATCTACGCATGCGTGGAAAGACGAAAAGCTGATGAATAACAAGAATGAGCATTCGAACGCGTTCGACCTAATTCCAACGCAGTAGAATCATGCTACTCGGTTTGACTTGCATACATACCCATCGCACATGCATTGCCACTGCCAGCTTGTCCGTGCACAGATGCTCCTCCAGGCGCATCGCTCTTCACACATATGAGAGCGCAGCGCGAAACCCAATTCAGGAGCAACACTTCCTTCAAAAGCACCCGCGTGCGACGTCTAACATCAAACAACACGCTACGCTACGCTACGCTAGTGTCAGACGCCAGGGCGCTTGGACACAACATTGCACGCAATGGCGGCAAACAGCGCGCTGCCAAGCCACCCGGTCTCTCCAATCTGCTGGTGCAAGAGCAACACGTTTTACTTGGCCTGTCCATTCGTTCTTTGGTCCTCCAGCGGCTTATTCGTTCTTGGACCCTTTCCGCCCGCGGGGCCGATCGGGAAGCCAGATCCTGACGAGCGGGTCGGGTCGGGTCGGCCAGACCCTCCAAAGGCGGGTCGGGTCGGGCAGGCGGGACATGAACGTAGTGTGTTCTCCACCCAGCTGGACATCCGCAAGAGGAACGACGATAAGAAGGGCGACTATGACGACGCCAATGACGACGATGGTGACGAAGTTGACGAGTTCGACGAGGACCATAAGCACGACGACGACGAGGACGGCGAGGAGACGACGCCGCTGAAGACGAGGACGAGGACGACGGCGACGACCCTACAAGGCGGATCGGGCGGGTGGACCCTAAAACGCAGATCTGGCGGGAGGACCCTGACGGGCGGGTCGGGCGGGCGGGCGAAAGGGCGGGTCGGGAGGGCGGCACATTAAGGCAGTGCGCGATCCATCCAGCAGGAAAGCCCAGACAAGGGTGACCATAGCAACGACGACAACGACGACGACGCCGAGGAGAACAAGATGATCAGGACGACGACGACGACGACGACGACGACGACGAGGGCGACAACGACGAGGGCGACGACGACGTCGACGACAACGAGGAACACGATGATGAGTGCGACAACGGCGACGGCTATGGGGGCGGGCGACGACTGCGGCGACGACTGGCACAGGCTTTCGCGTGGCGCACGCGACGGCGCCCGATGGGCCGTGGCGCAACATGGAGGGCCGTGGGTGGGGTGGTGTCGTTGGATCGTTGGTCGACTCTTCCTCCTCCCCCCTCCTCCTCCCCCTCCGCGGGTCCTCCAGGCTGACGAGCCCGTCCCCGGAGCTGTCGATCTCCTGGCGGCCGAGGGAGGGCGGGGGGGGGTGGGAGGAGGAGGAGGAGGAGGAGGAGGAGGAGGAGGAGGAAGAGGAGGAGGAGGAGGAGGAGAAAGAGGAGGAGGAGAGAAGGAGGAGGGAGGAGGAGGAGGAGGAGGAGGAGGAGGAGGAGGAGGAGGAGGAGGAGGAGGAGCAGCAGAGAGAGAGGCGGGGCCGCCGGGATCGCGGGCAGGAGAGGGCCGCGACGACGTGGCGCACGGACCGCGGGGGCGGCGGCCCCCCAAAAACGGTGCGGCGGCAGGCCCCCGCGGTGAGCCCGAGCGCTCGGGCACACGCAGAAGCCATTGTCGGTGACAACTCCTGGGAGCATCCCATACCATCTTGTCGGCTCCTGCGCATCGACGCTGATCGACGCCAGTCGACGAACATCGACGCTACATCGATGCCAAGTCGACGCTAGCCAGCGCTAAATCGGCGCTATCTCATCGACTCCCAGACGCGAATCGACGCTAATCGACGTTAGACCGACGCTACATCGACGCGAACCGACGCTGGCTGACACCAAATCGGCGCTATCCCGTCGACTCCCGGACGCTAATCGACGCGAAAGACAACATTAAAAGGGTACGGCGGGTTCGTGTCGCGTCGACCCGTGCGCTGGCTCCGGACACCGCGGGGACCGTTCAACCTTGAACGGTCGGCCTTTCCGCAACGTCCGATCGTTCAGCATCGACCGAGAATGGGCCGCCGCCGGCGTTCAGCGTTGAACGCCGTCGACGGGGTCGCCGCCGGTCGACACGACGCGAGCCTACCGTTGGGTCGGGCATGCCCCCCTACAGGCGGATTTTGGACGAAAAACGACAATAGTCAGAAAATACACCAAAACGATCAGACAGAAATAGAAAAATCGTCCCTGCAGGGGAACATTCCTCCTGTAGGGGGACAGGCCCGACATAAACGTACCGTATATTTGAGCAGGGACCAACCGTCCCGGTATTCCTATAGTCCTACTACGAAATTTTCTTAGAACCCAAAAATGTTCGAATAATAAAAACAATGTTCTTAGAACATAAGCCGATTTGATAAAACAAGACAGACTCCGCCAGAAAGGTTCTAGGAACATTTCGTGGAAACCACAAGAGGTTCTTAGAAATTGTTTGGTAGGGCTATAGGCGAGCCAGGACGCTTCGCCACTGCTTGATACATACCAGGCTCCCACGATGTGCTGCCGACAGCCACCGTGCAAAACCAGTACCAAGCGGAGGGCTGAGCTGTTCTGTCCCCGGCCAGCCTCGGCCTCGGCCTCGGCCACGGAGAGGTCTCCTCCGACCTGGACCTCCGAGGGCCGGGGGAGCCAGAAGCGCCGCCTGATTCATGGTGCTCCCCTCGCACTTAGGAGGACCACATCCCAGACGGAATCTCGAACACCCAGAGAAGCATCGAAGCAGTGTCGAGCGAACATCGCCTCCCAAGGCACGACACGCGTGAAAACCCCCCGTCTTGGTGCTCGACATTCTTTCTGGAGGTCCCAGCGGAAGCAGGTTGGAACATCATGACTCCGGATCCTGGCTCCGCGGCTCTGGCGCAAGGGCGCACGGATCGGGGAAAAGAACACTCCCCCAACCACACACACACACACCGCTGGTGCCGCCCGACCCGGCCATGGAGCGCGTCGATGTCGCATGGAAGCGGGACCTTTCGCCCTACTCCAAATCCCTTATTAATCGTCCTCCGGGTCCGGTGTTTTAAGGCGCCGTGTTTGTAACTGGGGGGGTCCGGTTTACTAGGGCGCTTTCTTTGGATTGGAGCTTAGGGGGTCCGGTTTCACTCGGGCGCCCCGTCGAAGAGGGGGGCCCGGGATATCAGGTCGCATGCGGAGGGAAGTCTGGTTTTTTTGGGGGGGTCGATTCTCGCCATCGCTCGGACGTCCATTCCCTGTGTTTTTGTTCGGTTTCGTGCGTGGTTTTTTCGTCAAATCATCAAGGATGCTCCTCGATGGTTCTCGTCGAAAAAAAGGCACACGTCCGAGCGATGCCAAGGATGAAGAAGGGATTTGGAGCAGGCCTCGAGGAGCGGGGGACGCCAGAGCTCCTTCGGACCACGGAGCCGCGGCGAGGAGGAGGAGGAGGAGGAGGAGGAGGAGGAGGAGGAGGAGGAGGAGGAGGACGAGGGAGGGGAGGGAGGGGAGGGGAAGGGAGGGGAGGGGAGGGGAGGGGAGGGGAGGGGAGGGAGGGAGGGAGGAGTCTGGCGCAGGGGCGCACGCATCGGGGGAAAGGAGCACTCCCCGAGCCACGCGGCGCCGGCGCCGCCCGATCCGGCGGCGGAGCGCGTCGGTGTCGCATGGGGGCGAGGCCTCGGAGTGCATGTTTCAAGGGGCCCGAGGACGCATACTTTCCCATATTTTCTTCCCATAATTTCCCATATTTTCTGGGGGATCGACGATGAATTGTGTGTCTTTTTTCCCCTCCTGAATGTCTTCCCCTCCTCGATGCGTGCGGGGCGTGGTTTTTATCCACTGCCACCGCCTGGAGGATCGATCCCCAAGGCGGCGAGTACAGTCGGGGCGTTGACCTAAGGAACCCTAAATAAGGAACGAGGCCCCTTTTTTCCATGGGTCAAACTTCGATTTCCCGTCGGAAACACCAGGAAAACCCAAGGCACACTGTGAAGCAATCAAGGAACACGGAACCCCTCCCCAACGCAAAGGGTTCCTTCTTCAGGGCCCCGACTGTATGGGCAAATCTCCGGCAAGGACCTCACCGCTCGGTGAAACACCGCACGGCTTGTCGAGCAGGGGCCGACCGTCCCGTGATTCCTAGAGGCCTATGGGCCAACCGCGACACACCCTGCGAAATGCTTTAGAAATCATGGGTTAAGAAATTCATAGTCTCAGAACTTGAATAAAAACCCAAAATTTCCATTCAAATCTTAGGATTTACATTGAAACGTTAAGAATAATCGAGACTCTGGCCGAAAACTTAGGTTTTCTTAAGCATCGCATAATGTGCATGTTCCTAGAACCCAGAAGGGGATAACAAAAACGGTGTTCTTAGGACATAAGCCGGATGTGTTAAAACAAGACAGTCTCAGCCAGACATGATCGAATATTTTTTCGCGCAGACCACACAAGGCTATTAGAACATTCCCTGGTGGGTCTGTAGGCCTATAGGCAAGGCGGGACGCTTCGCCACTGCTCGAGCTTGGAGGCAGAGCCCTGGTCGCCCGAGACACCCTCGGAGATCGACCCGAGTCACGACGCCGTGCGGTCACTCCGAGTCCCCACTGGCTCGCCCGGCGCTCTGGGGCAGGCGGGCAAGGCGATCCAGAAGGATCGCAGGCAATGTGCATCGTTTATTCAGATCTCTGTACGATAAAAAATGTAACTTTGCTGCGGCAGAATGCGTCTGTCACGGAATACCTCGTGGAGGTGGTGAACACGTCAAAGGATTCGGCAGAAATTGCATGCCTGAAATGACCCAGGCATGGTTAGATGTGAGAATAAAGGAAGACGGAGGGATCATGATAGTATGATAGTGTTGCCCACGAGGAAAACCGAGCGGTAAGAAATATCGAATCACGGGCAACGTGCAGAGGAAGAACGACCGAATCATACCCTGGGCGATGCTCATTAGATTGGGCGTGTCCACATGTTGACCATTACTCGCGATAGCGCCCGTGACTGGCCCCGCCCCCCCTCTCCGCTCCCCCTGGTCACGTCACGATCCGCGCAGGCGCCCTCTGGAAACTGCCGTAGCAGTTCCTGGGCATTCCCAGACGCCGCCGGCGCGCATAGTGACGATAGCGGCCCCCCATATAGGGAACCGAACTCTATACACCGACGCTGTGTTCTGGCCCTGGGCTGAAATTTGCGCAGGAAAGCGGATGCTGGTGTATACGGGACCCTGGGGTACACATCTTTCGCCGTCTCCCCAGGAATACGGGGGAAACAATAGACACCACACCACCGCGACGTCGCCCCCGACCGTCAAAAAGTCCTGGGATTGAAAAGCAGCCCGCCACTGGAAATGTATGTGTTCCAATTTCCGACCCTGGTCACGCCCGTCATAGCAAGGGAGTGCGAAAATAGTCTCGGTTCTGGGCGTGCTCGTCGGGCGTCGTCATCGTCACTGAGATGAAATGACTACCCTCTCTTTCAATGTGTCCGAGCGGGAAAGACTATCATATCAATCGTTCCCCCTGCTTTTTGCGCAGGCAGTATCCGACATTCGAAGAAATACGGGAACGGCATGCGGACAAACTATCGGCTATGACGACGACGACGACTCCAACGAGCAGGCTCGCAATCCAATTCAATAGAAATCGCACAGGGCGCTGCTGCGTAACGGGCCTCCCTGAGCATTTCTTCACCGATTACCAGCATGTTCCGAGTCTCACGACAGTTACTCAACACCTCGGCCTCAGCCATGGATATGACCTGGCAGCTGCTGACGGAGGCAATCAGGTAGCAGGAGAAGGAGATATTGACATACGTACATTGCTTCTCTTGATACCTTGAGCCCGACCACAAGGGCCTCCAGGGACTACCGGAAACTTCTGCATGGTCCCTCCTCCCCCTCCCTCCTCCTCCCCCACTCGACGAGGATGAAAAGATGTAGATTTTGCGCTCCTCTCGAACAATCTTCTCCCTTTCACTCTCCGTCTCCTCGCTCCTCATCCCGATCCTCCCAATATTCGCTGGGGTACATCATCTATACACCGTGCCCACGCACATGTTTTGAGCCGCGATTGGTGTTATTCCCCCCCGAAGATTTGGACCGGCACGGGTGGGGGGTGTCCGTGAGAGCGCGCAGCACCAGGATCAGCAATAAAGAAATGCTCAAACTGCCAAATCCCCAGACCACCGACGACATGATTCGTTCGAATCTCCGACCCATAGGACTCTCGACCCATCCCCAAATCATACATTTGTGTCCGAGACTGTTCCTGCTGGCGCCCCGGAAAACAATTTTGCATATTCGGGGGGGGGGCCTTTCCTGGAGCATCGCGCCGCTATCCGCGTCGAATCCACGTCGCCCATCGAATCCGCGTCGAGCTCACGTCGAATCCGCACCGAACCCGCGTCGAAGCATCGTCGGATCTGCGTCGAGTCCGCGTCAAGCCCGCGCGTGATTCAATTACCCAGGGACGCATTCAACCTTTTCTCAACAACAAACGACAATAAAAAAACACTCCATACCGCATGGCAGACAGGACATCCGTCCTCCCTCCTCGTCGGGGCGCGACCTAAACGATGGTTTCCGTATTCGTTTTGTCTTCGTGTTCCCTCGATGCGTCTTCAGTTCGCCTTTGCTGCAGATCAGTATCGAGACGAAAATGGCCCGCGAAATCGCCAAAACACTGTTTAGGCCGACACCTGCGTCGGAAGGTGCAGCACCCCCCCGGAGAGAAGGTGGAGGAGGAGGAGGAGGAGGAGGAGGAG